TTACTTTAAGATGGTTCATTCCTCTTCAGCTGAAAATTTTATTCAATTCATTGTGTCCATCACCAAGTTGATCACTGACCTCAATAAAGAATTTACAGGAAAAGTTCAGGTTAATTAGGGTGAACAAACGTCTTGCTTTGTTCAGGACTGAGAGGTTTCTCAGGAGAGGGGACTTACAACACTCAAACTGGGAAATTCTGGGGAAAACTGGGACTCGTTCATCTCCCTCCTCAGAGCTGACTTCTGACTTGGCTCCAGACTGAACCATTGCAGTAGACTCAGTGGGGTTGGAGAAATGAGGAGAAAGGAGCCCACTGAGCGAGTCCTTGACGGCTGAGCGCCAGGCCCTCTTCCTGCCCTTCCCCTGTGGGACCAGGTTCTTCTGGGTTGGAGGACAGCCAGGCTCTCTCCTCCCGGTCTCAGCCCCATCCCTTGAAACTCAGCCCCTCCTCACAGCTTGGGCATGGTCTGTGCTCAAGCCTTGATTCATCAGCAACTTCCAACTTTTCTTTTTGTTCTTCTCTTTTGTCTTTTCAGCCACAGCGATTTCAAATGACTGGTACCCCAGTAAGTGCAGACACACTATTTCACCATTTCCTGCTTCCCACACAGAGATGTGCTTTGGGACTGACGTTCAAGTGACTCTCCTGGAAGCGCGAGTATCCGCTGGCGTTTTTGGTCAAGAGAACTTGGTGCTTCTGAACCTGAGCGTGTGCTCCACTGTTCTCAATCCCTAAAGTCCCCTCTCCCCTGACCTCTCAGGGCTTCCACCCTCCCCTTCCCCCCTCCCCTCCCCTCCCACCCCACCTCCTCCACAGCCCAGGGGGGCCTCCTCTGCCCTCCTGCCCACAGCCTCACCAGGCAGGGAAAGGAGCCACCTCTCCACGGAGCAGGTGTCACAGGAGGATGGAGCCTCCTCCAGGTGGCTGGAGTCTGGGGGGCTGAAGGGCGTCACGTCTTCAGTGTCAGGACTGAGCACATCGAAGGGAGAGGGCGTGACTGCAGAGGGGGATGCTGGCCAGAGGGGAAAGTTTTCCTCCTAATGTGGGTGCCTTTTCAATAAACTGACTGATTTACATCGTGATCTCCAGGTCCAGGTACAGAGATATAAACTGATTTGATCCTAAACACCCCAGAGGAAATACTGTCTAATCCTCATTTGTTAAAAAATGTATTTGAAGAAGTGTTCAATTCT